TATTTGAGTTTTCCAAAAAAAGGACAGTAGGGGGCGGGGTTCGTGGGCGGGGCTTCACCTAACAGTATACATAGCAAAGTTTTTTTTTGTTTGTTTGTTTGTTTATTTTGTTTTTATAATAAATAAAAAGAAAACAAGTAGAAAGAATAGAAAACGAATAGGGAATGCTAGTGTTAGAGGGTCATTTTAAAATAAAAATAAAAATTCAATAGAACAGAAAAAGAACAGATAATGCTAGTGTTAAAAGGTAATTATTTATAATAAATAAAAAGAAAATAAGTGGAAAGAATAGAGAAAGAATAGAGAATGCTAGTGTTAGAGGCTCTTGTTAGAATAGAAATAGAACAGAGACTGCAAATGTTAGAGGGTCAAGTTTTTTGAAAAAAAAAACAAGCAAATAAAATTAGAAGTAGCATTATAATAGAGAGTAGAGTTAGAGGGTCAAATGAAGATGAAAGAGATGTGTTTTTTTAGCCATTTCTTGAAAATATTAAGGACTCAGCTGCTTGGATTGAGCTGGGAAGGACATTCCACCAGGAGGGAACAGTTCATGTAGAAGTCCATGAAAGTTTTATCATAGGTAGAATGCAAAATGTTTCAATACAAGCATTTCAGTCAAATGTAATTTATGCAATATTTCAAACCTTTAACCCACTTGGGAAAATCTTTAAAAGTAGCCCAATTCTGTGGAAAAAACGCGGACTTGGCAACCCTGCATCTAACGAGAGCTACCGGAGTCGGATTTGCCTGATCACAGGTCGAGAATAAGTAGAGATGACTGACAAGGCCATGCTGGAGTATCTTGTAAGATGTGCTCCCTTTACACATGCGTGTGATTGCGAAATCGAAAGTGAAAGTAAACCGCGCAAACGCTCATTCAAAAATATTTAAATACACCGCATCCTGAGAGCGGCTCCCTGATGCGCCAAAATTATATTCAATATTAGAATGTTTAAAGGAGTGGACACGAAAATCGGGGGAGCGAAACACGTTGCGGGAGCAGGCGGCAATGGCCAGAGATTTAGCGGGAGTGGGATTAAGAAAACAGCCGAATCCCGGACATTTTGGGCAATTAAGAAATCCGGCCGGACGCATTTTTGTAGGTCCAAAAAGAGGACATGTAACAACAATAATAAAGTATAAGTATACACGCTGATAAAACATCAGTATGCAAATGAATAATATCTGCATTTGCTATGACATTAACACTGAAAATATGTCTTTACAGCGATCGTATAAGATTGGCTAGAGATTAGCTTACAGACACATGTGCTCGGCAGATGCGATAAGCACGTCTTAAAAGACTAATTCACAATCAAATGTAAACACAGTATAATGAAGCAACAAACTTACTCTTTGATGCACGCACACATGCGATTACTCAATATTGCGGGAGAACTGGCATTATCATCACCGTTAGGATCGTCTCACGCTAGTAATAATAATGGCGATCATAACTGTACTAAACTGCATCAGCATCCGGGTCCTTTGCACCTTCTGGGTCCTAACAATAGGCATGTGACTGACGCCTGACTAAATAACAACAGCGAATTAACCATTACACATATACAAAGAACTGTATGAACATATTAAATAACTGGCCCTCAGTTTAGTACAGCTGCCCCCAAATGTGCTTGCAGATTTGCATCTTGGGCCAGTACTCACAGTCATTCAGGGAGTGAAAGGAGCTTAATAAGTCTGACAACAGGTCTGATGTAGGTTCTGTTTTTGACCTGGATTTCTGCAGCTCTTACTTTATTATCAGCTCCGGCCTGGACAGCTTTCA